AAGGTATTACTTATTAGTGTTTTGTTAGGGATTTTAAACACTTGGAGCAAAACCTGTTTTCTCACCCTCTTTCATTTTTCTTTATTACTATTAAAATGCATTTTGTAGACTTCAGGAAATTCTAGGTGAACACATACAAAATTTCAAATCTGTTATAAACTGATAGGAAAAGAAAAATTATTTACAAGCAATTAATATTAATTATCAGTATGAAAGTGTATTTGCAATTGCAAAGAACTAATATCAAAGAAATTAAGTGAAAATTCTCAAATTATAAGAAGGCAAACTAAAGCAGAATAGATGAATTGTCAAAAATCTAAAGATCACAAGAGTTGTTTGCCACATGTGTAGATGGGAGGGGGGAAAGCCTGGACTTAGGGATCAAAAGATAACACATTTTTACATCTTGGCTTAACAAATTGTGTGACAACCTATTGAACAGGAAACTCCTGTCAGCTATTCTGTGATGTTTTGCACAAGTCTGATAGGAATATATAAAATACTCAGACATACCTTGCAAGGATCTGAGTTTTCAAAGTTACGTGAGAGCAAAGAACAAAGTCTGGTTTACTGTAAGTGGGCCAGACTCGATTGAATAAGCCTGTTTTATCTAAAAAGGCCAAAACACTCATTGCACAACATCCTAATAGAAGATACAGCTACCAACTTCATGCAAGACTCAGCTTATAAGCATGTCAGTATTTATTCCTGTTGAATCAGGACAATTTAGTGATTGAATCTAAATTGTAGAGCCTAAAAAAAATTGCATTTGGTTTCTCTCCTTGTTTTGTCTGAAGCAGCTACTTTTTACATTTGAACTGCAATATCAGAAAAAAAACCCACAAAAATTAAATGTGTACTTAACATTTGCATTGGCACTTTCAGGTGTAAATCTTTGCACCCTCATTAGTATATGTATCTTTAGTGTAACGTCATACAAGCTTTAGAAGAAAAAAACTCTCAGTCATGGAATTAGAATCATAGAATAGTTAGAGTTGGAAAGGACCTTAAGATCATCTAGTTCCAACCCCCTTGCTATGGGCAAGGACACCTCGCACCAAACCATGTCACCCAAGGCTCTGTCCAACTATCCCATAGGAAAAAGCTGTAGTTTATCAACCCTTCCTAGTTACCACCTTTCCTAATGTTAAAAGTGGTATAGCTAGTGTGGTGCTCTAGCCGTATTTACCTCGTCAACGCAGAACCACAGCTGCATAAAGCATCCTCATAGAAAAGATTCTGGCACATGACTTAAGTATCAATAGTACAGCCTAGCAAGGAAAGGGGACAAGAGCTTCTGTTTTAGAGAAGAGGGTGCAGCATCCTACCATGGCAAAAAAGGCCAGGATTTTCACCCAAAAATGCAAAGACTATAACCTCTCTTTCCGTCATTGCACCTCAGAGGCAGCAGATGCCAGCTCATTAGATCATGTCTTGGCTTTACTATGGTTTTGACTGAACAGTCATTTCTGGTGACTTACTTCACTTGCTGATACTGAACATGACAAGAGCAGATAGTCGCTATTTCTCAGCTGTGAGGCAAAACTACCTCCCAGTTGTAACTGACAGCATCTTAAGGAAAAGAAGGTAATTTAAGCTGGAGGGACTGGAATATGCCATGTGAGGGGAAATACTCAGGTTGTAACAGCACGCCTTTAAAAAGCTCTGTGCACAAAATGGCGTGTGGATTTACTGACACTAACTTGAATATATTTTCATCCTTTGATCACTGACCATCTTTTTACTCCTGAAAGGCTTTTTTGTTCCCACACTCAAATTGTATTTTTCCAATGTATCTCCTAGAAATAAATGAATAGGTTTTGCTGAAATTAACCTCAAAAGTTGATACACAAAGATGACATGCTGGAAATTTATGGCGTTAATATTTATGCTTTAGTATATTTGCAAAAACTAAACCAAAGGAATCAGAAACTTCTAAGCAACTTCAACTATAGCTGGTATCCCCACAGGAAATACAAATCATCCACACATACTCAGATTTCTGTAGCACTGTATGTGCCAGGAGATCCCAAAGGACTTATAGATCCAGGTCTCTCTAATTTTACAAGCTTTGTCATCCTTTCTTGGCTTTGAGGACATGAGTGGTCTTTAAATTAGCCTAATTTCTGATACTGATTTCTATCAAGCAGTAACATTACAGCAAGAGATGAATTATGGTAAGAGATCTGGTGATTTAATGGAAGCATAAGTATCACAAAAATATTTCTGCTAAAATAGAAGTGAGGAAACGGTTAACAATGTCAAATTTTAGATTTTCAGTATTAGGATTCAGGGTAACAACCAGCTGCTTGAATGCAAGTGAGGGAAAATCCATCTTCCAAGCTCACATTTCAGTCCGCCTGCTGGCAGGACTTTGATGCCATGCACTGCTGTCCTAATAACAGCTTTGAAATGTAAAATATTTAAACTTAATCCTTACATCTTCCAGTTCATACTTGTGCTAAGCAAATGTGAATATGCAGTAAATTCCACAGCCAGGGAACCATGTGTCAGATTCTCAGAAAGATGGATGTTTTCTGGTTGTGTAGTTGCTTTTCAAGCAGCTTTTGTACACTGTGTTCTTTCCTGGTCTTTTTTCTGTGTGTTCTTCTTAAGGAATGGCTGTATAGTCATTTTAATCTGACATAAATCTGGCCTATTCGTAACATGATTAGTTCTGTCACTCTTGTTCCCAGTTGCTTTACTTGGTGTCTCCCTTGTGCCAATTCAACCACTCATGTACTTGAGCTGTAAATGGTACCAGGGAACCCATCCTGCTGATAAAATAATCTTTTCCCAGTTTGCTGAGTCAGGTTTGGCTTTGTGCTTTGTAATCTGACCTAATTCTGTCCCATCCCCTCCCTGTGCTGCTCACAGCATGCTAGAAAACAAATCCATGAAAATAAAAGTGGGGCTTTTTTTGGAGCTGGATGAGCTTACTTGTCCAGTTCACTGCACAGCCACTTCAATAGCAGCAGCAGGGTGAGTAACCTTGGGCCTGGAAAGTAGGTGCCTCTGCTTCCATAGCAGCCTGGACACATGCTGGCTTGAATACACTGCTTTAGCTGTTCACCTCACAGAAGTACTTTGTCAGAAGAAAAAGCCTATAAATCATAATCTTGTGAGCTTTTCAACATCCTACTTATAGAAGATGCATTTTTACTTTGTCATTCTTGGCTTTTTCCCATATCTTCAGTATGTGTCTGCTCACTATCAAACTCATAAATACTGGCCTATATTTACTTCATAGTCTGTGCAAAACTTGAGTGTATGCCTAAATAATTCCTAAAGTGAAACAGATTAGAAGAGATTCAGTCAACAAAATGCATTTTATTTTCGTAAGTATTCTTTACATTAATTACACAAATGTAAGATGAAAAAAATTGAAACCATTAAACATCTGTATAAAAGCATTATTTCAAAACCTTCCTTACAAAAAAACCCCAACAAACCTACTTTCAAGTCCTGTAAAGGAGTAATATTTCACATCCTTGTGATCAATAGGATGGTAGAGAGAAAGGGAAAACCTTAGCCTACTGAAAAGTATTAGTTGTTCATAAAAATGTTTTTATATTCTACATGATTATATATTTGTAACAAACTATATGCTGCTACCATTTTAACAAGCATAATGACTGTATATTTACAGTCATAAATATTTTTGTATTTAAAAAGATGAGTAGAATGACAGTGGCCACCCTCAGACTCATTTGTAGGTGCCATTTGGTACAAGGTACAGGAAAATGGCATACACAGAAAGCAGAATGTTTTTGTTGTTCAGATAAAGTCTCACAGTGTTTTAATGCATTCAACCAGAATGAGTTCAGTGGGTGAGGAGAAGCCTTTGATAAAGACTTTTGTAGGATCACTGACATCTTAAAATGTAAACACAGAAGTGATGTAACTGATGCTTAACCGGAAGATACTCCAGCTGTACAGCAGGGCAGATATAAAGGAACAAGCTTGGTTTACAAAAAAAAATCAGTTAGCTGGGCAATTTGCCCAAGATTCTTATTCTGTTTATTTACTGATGTCAGTAATTCAGGGTGTGGGCTGACAATGCAGCTAAACAGCGCGGCCAACTACTGTCAAAGGGCAGCCTTGCTCCCAGCCTGCCCATGCATGGACTCCTAATGCTTCCTTCATGCCAACACTGGGACTCGTCTGATGCCGCACTGAGCACATTCAGGCAAAAAAATAATACCACAAAATAAGTACTGATTTATCTTCAGCCAATTTGGCCCTGTGGCTTTCATAAGGAAATGAAAGGAAATGAAAAAAGCTGTACATGAGTATTTTAAAACCTCACAAAAGAACCTCTATTTGAAAGTCCTGCAAATGAAGAGTAGTTCATATCTGGGTTGTGATCAACAGGCTGGGGAAGGTCTGACAAACTTTACAGTTGTTTGCAAGGAACATTAAAGTTTGTACCTTGTATTCAACATAATTGTATTTGTATAATTAAATGTGAAATTTTGATTTCTTGTCACTCAGGAACTGTCATTCTGCCTCTGGAGCTCTGCTTAGCCAAATCTGTAACTTCTTTTTTAAGTTTCAGAAGGGACTCCCTGGTACCAGACTCTTCCCAACAGATACTGTGGGCTAACTCAAGAAGGGGCACTTCTTAAGAGGAACACATCTACGGTCAGAGACCAACTGGCGCCCTGACCTCCACGGAACTGAGCTGTGTCTGCTTTGGCCTTAGGTGCCCCTCATTTGCACACATGCTTTTCCAGTTCTCAGAGGCCGTTCCGTGCATTCAGAGGGCGAACAGCCGGCAGCACGAACCGCAAACCCGCCTCTCCTCACCGGCCCGCCTGGCGCAGGGCGCTGCTCCCCTCACGGGCTACCGGCAGCCTCCCTGAGTACAGCGCCCCCTAGCGCCCCGCGTCTCTTCGTTCGTTCACCCGCGGCAGCCTCAGCCCTCAGGGTACCACGGCGCGCGTGCTCCCCACAGCGGCTCAGCCGCCACCACCCGTAGCGCGCAAGCGCACCCTGCGTACTCCCCCCCACTGCGCCCTCCCCTCCCCAGGCACCGGCCACCCACAATTGGGCCGCGGCCCGGTTGGTGGAGCCGCCCCCCACCCGCCGGGCCTGAGAGGAGCGGAGCCTCCCCTACCATGGGCGACCCGGCGCAGCCCCCGAGGCCCGGGGTCGGCGTGGGGGTGGTGATCACCAGCGCCGCGCACCCCGACTGCGTCCTCCTGGGCAAGAGAAAAGGCCCAGTGGGGGCCGGCACCTATCAGCTCCCCGGAGGCCACCTGGAGTTCGGGTAGGAGCCCCGAGACCCCCATCCTACACCCTCCCCGCGGCTCCGCCGGTACGCGCGCCGTGTCCTGAGGCGGCCGTGCCGTGCCTTTCTCTTCCCGCAGGGAGAGCCTGGCCGACTGCGCCGCCCGGGAAACGCTGGAGGAGGCGGCGCTGCGGCTGCGCAACATTCGCTTCGCCTCCACCGTCAACTCGTTTTGCAGCGCCGCGCGGTACCACTACATCACAGTCCTCATGAAGGGGGAGGCGGAGCCGGGCACGGAGCCGCGCAACCGCGAGCCCGAGAAGAACGAGGGTGAGGGGCGGCACCGGAGGGGGGGGTGCCCGTTGTATCAAAATGCACCTTGGAGCTCGGTTTGCTGTTTTCCTGTATGGCCACATGCTGTGACAGACCGAGGGCAGGGGGTGGCTGCCGGCACATTTATTCCGCAGAGCTGAGCAAACGCTCGCTTCTGGTGGGGTCAAGACTTAAGGAAAGTAATGAATTTCAAGTAACTCTGTTGGTAATTTCTGTGCAGTCCGTCCGGACTTGCAGAGGCGGAATTGTTACCTGATTATCGTACAATGACGGAATAGTTTGAGTTGGAAGGGGCCTTAAAGTGCATCCAGTTCCAGCCCTTCATGCCCTGAGCAGGGACACTTTCCACCATGTTGCTCCAAGCCCCATCCAACCTGGCCTTGAACACTGCCAGGGATGGGGCAGCCACAGCTTCTCTGGGCAACCTGTGCCAGTGCCTCATCACCCTCACAGGGAAGAGCTTCTTCCCTATATCTAAGCTAAATTCTAAATTTCCCTTCTTGTCATATCTCTACGTGCCCTTCTAAAAGGTCCCTCTCTGGGTTATTTGTAGGCCCCCTTTAGTCACTGGAAGCTGCTCTAATGTCTACTCTGAGCCTTCTCCAGGCTGAACAAGCCCAACTCCCTCAACCTGTCTTCATAGGAGAGGTGCTCCAGCCCTCTGAACATCTTCATGGCCCTCCTCTATACTCACTCCAGCAGGTCCACATCTCCCTTGTGTTGGTGACCCGAGCTGGAAACAATACTGCAGGTGGGATCCCAGGAGAGCAGAGTACAGGGAGAACCACCTCCCTTGACCTGCTGGTCACACTCCCTTTGAATCAGTCCAGGATATTGTTGGTTTTCTGTGTTGCAAGTGCAGATTATTTAATTCTCTGGTGTTTTCTTCTTTTTTTTTTTTTTTTTCCTTTTTTTTTAATTTTTTCCCTGCAGGTTGGGAATGGGTTAAGTGGGATGAATTTCCTCCAGCAGATCAGCTGTTCTGGGCCTTACGCTGTTTAAGAGAGCAAGGTTACAATCCCTTTACAGAAGAGCTTGATCATCTGAAGGGGTACACAGGAAGTCACCAACTGGGATAAAAAAATAATGGCACATGATGTAACAAGCCAAATGAAAGACATGCTTTTTGGTGTGAAAAGAGAAAAGCAAACCTCATGTTCTCTCTGCCCATGTCAATATACCACCCTTTCCAAAGCCAAAAAGATGCCAGATGTTTCAGTGCTTTGACCATATTTCATTCTGCAGCTATTTCTAGCTGTTGTGGTTAAAGTGAATTGTTTTCTTTTATATAAATCTCAGTGTTTTATTTTATTAATCTTTATATGGATGAGCAACAGAAGTTAGAGAAACATACTCCCTTGGTAACAGTTGCAGCATCAGGCTCAAAAGGAACTTTTTTAAGACAGTGTCTTGCTATGTAAAACTTCTTTGTGTATCATGCTGCCTTCCTTATCATTGTAAATAAATAAATAATTATAAATCTTGGACCAATTTTTAAACTTAGCCTTGTCTTGTAGCTTCAGTTAAGATACTGTCATGAACAAAAGTCACATTCTACAGACAATGCCTCATTCTGCAGACAGTAGATACTTGAAAGAGTACGACAAACATGGAAAGGATTGTCAACATTAATGATGAAAGGTTTATTGCAGGGGGTGAAGATTCCCCCGTCCTTCTTGCCACCCTCTTTTCTTACAGAGTTCTGTTTGCAGCCTCAGTTACATTAAAATTTATCTGAAGAAGTGTTCCAAATCTCTACAGTTGATCTTAATCCCTGATCAGGTTACTAAACTCTTAATAGTTCAAATAGAACTATTAGAACTGGAGAGGTGCCTGAAGTGTTCTAGGCTGAACACAAAAAACATCACACAAACTAATCTTGATTGATAGGTGTAGCCCTACAGGAGACAGACATACTTGGGGCTAAAGAGGGTTGTAGGTGCTAAACAGCACAGTAGGTGTAATTCTGTATGGCCACTGGATTTGATAAAATTGTTCATTTTCAGTTTGATGTGATGAAATGATTGAACATAGGCAATGAAATCATGGTATACAAAAAATTGTGCAAAACCAATGAGTTTATATTTTTATTTTTTCTAGGATCTGTAATCAGATTTGATTTGAACATCATGAATTTGATTGATTTGATTAGAACATCAGCAATTCATTTTAGGATATGACTTTTCAAAAAAATCACTAATTGCCTCGTTTTTTTCTCTTTGGGTTTCTTTTAAAACACAGGTTTTGTCTGTTTCCAACATAACTGTTGTACAAAATGTTCTGAGATAACTTTAATTTATTTTGAATAAAACATAAGCACAATATTTAAAGATTTAAATTGTCTAAAATTATGAATTGACTTGTCTGTTCTTAAAATAAATGAGTTTGAATGGTTTAGAGCTTGGAGATGGCTCTTTTTCCTGAGAAGCAGACAGAGTGATATGAGGTGTAAGGATGCTGCTTAATTATTGCAAGCCTCCTGCTTAGAATGTGAAGTATTAACTACATGCTACTTAGGACATATTCTTTCTCTGAAGTGAATAAAGAAGATAATGTTATAAAGTAGTTTTGAAATGGGAAATATCACTGAAAATTCCTTTACCGCTGTATCTTTGTAGAAAGCTTATTTTTTTCTATTCAAAAGTGGAGGTTTTCTTCTTGAAAGCAACTTTATGTACACTGAAAATTATTCTATTCAGCTGTCAACAAAGAGGCTGTAGGAAGTTGACAGATGTCCTGCCCATCTGTCTCAAAGAATAAAGAGGAAAAAAATATTACCATTATTTAATATGATCTAGTGCAATTTTAAATTTTAGAAGGCATTTAGCTCCTGATGGGGAAACAGGGGTCATTGTAGAATGGTTTGTCATGCAATAAATATTTTGATACCATTAATGGTTATATTCATTCTGTCTGTTGTAAATACACAAGCAGTTACTGAAATGAGGACACAAACAGTATCACCATATGTCAGGGCTTCGGCATCCTTTCTAAGTGGACTAATGAAATTACTACAGTGCACTACTGCAATCAGCTGTCAGCAATCCGTAACTTAAGTAACTTGGTTTGTACGTATCATGCATTTGGACTTTTTTTTCCCCCGGAAGTTTGATTCTCAGTATTTTTTTGCCGCTAAGGCTCAGTGTTTTCAACTAAATGTTATGTTTACTTTGATTTTTTGGTACATTTGCTAAATAGTAAAATCTACTGGGTACACATTTAAGCCACTGAGTAACAGAACACAAAAAACGTTACGTTTTGCTTAACTTACTGTAATAGAAAAAATTCACCTAAAGTAGCATTACAGTTATCCAGTATTGAGAAAAATACTCCTGAACAGCGTATGGTTTGGAGCACTGATGTAAAGAAACTCATTAGGATGCATCTTATACCCAGAGTCTGATTTTACGCTAAGTGAACTGTGGACAGAGTTGTTGTCTTACCTGTTTCTTAGCTGTAACACACTGGTCCCATTTGGTCCCTTTTAATCCTTCAACAGACTAACAAGCAACCCAGGACAAAAAAAAAAAAGTGTTCACTGCTTCTGTTCATCCTTATGTCTGGAAACAATCACTCACCTCCACAGTGAATCACATCATAAAGCCATGTAAGAGTTTTGGGTAGACTGTACATTACACTTCCCATCATTATTAATTATCTCTATTTGTATTTCATGCCAAGAAAAGGATGTTCCTACAAACGAGAAGACAAGAGACTACTGAGCTGTGGCTATGTCATAAAATGTGTTGAGAGAGGGGCATTTAGGGAAGAAAATACTAATTACAGGTACAAAGCATTGAGAAGCTGCATTTTGCAATATTATGTATGATTCTGGTCACACATGTTTAAGAAAAAAACAATGTGAACTAGAACAGGGGTAGCCAAGATTAACTAGAATGATTGAGATGGGGCAGGTGTATTTGAGTTAACATGAATTAAAAATTCATGTTAATACAGTCCTCTATGAAGACACTGGGGATAAACTCCAAAGAGGAAAACAGGATACTAAACAAAAGTCAAAACATATATTTATATGAAAAACTTAGACTGCAGAATAGAAGTGAAATTTTAGTAACTGTAAAAATACTTCCAAAAGGAACAGCTGAGGCAACACCAAACTCCCAATTTCTCCTAAAACAAAAAAGCACTGCCCTGTATTATGCAACTGACCCTGACTGAAGTCCTTTTCACATCTACATCCTTATGGAATTTGTATGTATGTTGGTCATCTATGGCAGCATTACTGACAGCAGTACTTGAAAGATTCTCCGAACAAACGACAAAGTACCTGATTTATCAGATACTTTCTGTGAGGAATCTACAAAATGGCAGTGTGGAGTGAATTTGTGATCTGTCCTTCGGGAAGCCTCGTGGCAGGGCAGAAACCTGTAACTGCCATGAGCAACAGCTCACATTAGTTTCTGATCTGATCAGAGGTTTACTTAAAAGTAGCCATTGTAAAATAACTCCTTGAGCGAAACAGACCAAGGAAAGCAAAGCCAAGTGCCTTTGGAAAGATGAAAGAACACTGTAGCTGAGGCAGGAAATGCAACTACTGACGTAAACAAATCAGCAAGTTCAAAGAACTGAAAAATTATAGACAAGAATCTATGAGTACTTTGAACTGGAAGGAGCTGAACCTGCAGTGTGCCCCAAGCATGTCATCTCCAGGGGCCCAGGATGCTTAACCAGAAGCCTTGCAAATGGACGGGCAGTCTACATGTCTGCCTCAGGGTCTGCCCAGTTATGCGTGTACCTGGCAAAGCTCAGCTGAAAAGGGCAGGCCGAGTTCATGACTCCTCAGCTGCTTCTAATACTGACTTGGCATTTTGCAAAGGGGAAAAATGAGTACAAGCTTCTGAAACTTCAATCAGAATTCAACCACATACTGGGATAAAATGCGATGAGTACTGAAGTTACACAGTAACTCATTCAAGATTTAAGTTTGCAAAAAGAAACACAAAGTTACATCAAAGCTCAGTTTATTTATGACAAATCATTATATATTACAATAATTACAAACTTTTTCCTTACACCTTATTCCCATGTTTTTGTTCTCAGCTCAAAAACATGGATTTAGGCAGTGACAAAAAGATACTAAAATTATAAATGTCATGTCTGATTTCTGTGCCATAGAAAAGGCTATCATCAAAAGAGTAAAGTTACTAACAAACATACATGGGGATTCCCCTTACACCTTTTTTCTCCAGGAACTTCTGTCATCTAATGTATAGTAAATATATATATACACCATGTCTCTTGCAAACATACACATTCACACATTTACATAATCGCTGGAAATGTGACATCTCTCCTCCAGCAGAAAGCTCCCAGTCATTTTACTTGAATATCTAATGCAAAAAAAATATACTGAAGTCCATGGTTTATAAATTAGTCACCCTGTTTCTGAGACAGCTGTTATCTTCTCCCTACACAGGACCACCAATAAAAGGATACTGTATCTTACGATGAACAGCACCCAACCTACCTTTACCACAGGAAAGGTCTACTAGGGATACTGTCCCGCTTTGAACTAGTCTGAGTCACTACTGCTGCTTGAGGAGTCTGTTGACATAACTTCTACATCATCTTCATTCTCTTTATTGTGTCCTGGAGGCTCCAACATGAAGTCATTACTATGATTAGGAGGTAGCATGTTCATTGACATATCACTTGACTGCCAAGGATACTGAGGAGCCAGCACATCTGGAAAAAAGGGGCATTATCAAACAATCAGCTTTGTATATCAACAAACGCAACAAGACAGCTCAGCCAAAGCTCCAGTTTAAAATTAATCTTAAAATCCTTCCTGAATTCTGGACAGTTGAAACCCTCCATCACTGTAAAAGCCTACACTGCCTGAGAGGCCCATTTATGTAGATGGCTCTTGATTTCTCATCACTCCTCTTCAAAACAGTATATATGCATACAGAGCTTTTCACCTTCAAAGCACAGTTTGAACTGCCTTAACGTTCACAACCACTGGCAGTAATGAAAATGGTCACCCTCTGTCAGTATGCAAAAATAGATGAAAACATTAGATTTAAGAAAACACTAAAACCTTAAGGTAGACTATAGAAATTCAAAGTAAAAGGTTTTATCCAAATTTCACTGAAAATACCTTGGGTTATTGTTTTTCCAACAGCAGATATGGCATACCAAGAGCAAAGGAGATGAAGGTCCTACTACAAAACTAGGGCCACAGAGATACTTGAAGTGGGAATGCCCCACTGTGCCCCAGCGAGGCCAGCTTCAGCTACCTCTGACTTCTCTCCCCTCTGGCTGTTTCTTCTCTTCTACAACCTGCAAAACCATTACACACTGTACTCGCTACGAAGCCACCCTCCTCCCACACTTCTTAGTCTCTTCCTTCCTTGCCCCCCACAAACAGTTCCCATTTCAAAGCTGCACTATGCATCTATATGCCATTTCTTCTCCCTTCTTTTTAAATTATGCTCCTACTGCTGTGCTTTAGTTCTTCTCCACTTACTACCAGGCACCACAGCTAAGACTATCCCATAGAAGAAACCAGCTATCTCCCACTTACATCAAGAATTAAAAATAATTAAGTAGTCAGAAGTGAACAAAAACCCATGCACATGTCATTTTGAGTACAGAAAAAACAGTGCACTCTCTAAACAGGAGGGTCATCTATGGGAGATGTACTCTCACTCAGGTGCTAACTCAAAAGCACAGAGTCTCCACACACATAGTAGCTTGTGATCTTCAAGTTCTCCATGTATGAACTACAGTTACAGTTCCCTAATACCAGATGCATTACCTAGCTGTACAAATCTGACCCACCAGCAGATACCACGGCAGAATGCAGCCTTTGTGCTAGTTCTCTGCCAGCTTTAGGAAGGCCAACAACAGTACAAGGTGGTCTCATCCCACCTTTGGTGAAGTTAAACAACTTTATTTGAAACAGCTGAGAATAAAAGCCGGTGTTCTACATTCTGTGGCCATACTTCAATGCTGGAACCAGTCCATTATTAAACCAGGCTGAATGTACGTGCTAAGCAGCCTCTAAGTTTTGAGGGTACCAAGCAGCACAGTGGCTGGCTTGCACACTCAACTAAGGACTCAGTAACCCAGTATGTATCTCCCTGCAAAAGTCTTTAAAAGGGCTAAATCCCATAATGAGTGTTCTCAGGACATGCCTCCACACACGAACAGATGCAGGATCCCTGTACAAAATGCCAAAAAGTAGGGCAAAAGCAAGTAGGGCAGCCTCTACTTTCAAATGTTTTGATGTTTCCCTTTTACCTGTTAGTCTAGTAATTAAGAGGATTTCCCCTGACATAGGAGATACAGATTCAAATAACAACTTTACTTAGGTGTATAAATCCCACATTTTCCAGCTTCTGAAGGAAAAGTCCTGAAGAGTGGGCTTTCGGTTCTTACAGAGACACAACTGAAAAGTAAAAGGAGCAAATCTGCATCCTCTAAGGCAGAGGAGCCAGCCAGAATGGCCTCTACTGAAACTTAAGCAAATAAATGCTCAAACTCCATGAGGAAGACACAACCGTTAACTCGTACTCTGACCATGTTTGAGAAGAACAGAAAAGGTAGTACATGGGCCCATCCTCAGCATTTTCCTGGTGGACTGCTATAGATAGATGTCAGGTTCCCACTCCTATTAGCTCACTGACCCATTTTATCCAAGGCCAGAGGTTTAGAAAGCAAGATGGTGCAGAACTTCAAGGCACTTCCTAAGAGGTGATAATAGCATTAGAGAGGTGATGAGAAACACTAAATCCAAGTTTACTATTTCTCCAATGGAGTCATAGTACAGAGGTTTTTAATCTATTTAGTACAATTTTTGAAAACAAACTTTCCAGACCACCTGAAAGTGGCTTAACAGTCAGGTAAGAACTGTTACAGATCTATGAAACTAAACTAAGAATCATCCACAATTTAGTCTAACCATGGCAGATTAATGCTGCACAGGTACAGAACCACTGGATTCTTGATTCAGTTACTATAATTTAGTGCTAAATTCTATTTTAGCATGAATGAATGAATTCCACTACAGTCTACGGAAGTGCCCATTTTACTAAGCAATTAAGGTAAGGGACTATAAAGCCCAATTCCTACACTCAAGGTACTACCTCACAAGCTGTCTTTTGTAACATCTTTTCAATCCAGAAATTCGAAGCAAAGAGTCTTGCTATATGCAGCATAGACTTAAAGGAAAGTATCGGGTGACAAACTTTTCTTCCAAATACAGCTTTCACAATCCTGTACTTTGCCATCACTACTAAGAAAAGACTGCTTTGAAAATACTGCTTTCTAGTATCATTTGATGGCACTTAACTTACAGCAATTTAAGTGAATTGAAAGGTAATTCAGTGACTTTTGCTTACATTTAGTTGTAGTGTCTGCAGTATGATTTAACATGAAGCAAAATTTATGCAATTTCTAAATGTTAACTCTATTTACTACATGATTGCTGCTAGGGAACACCACTGGCCATAATTTTCATTATTTTTACTCTGATTTGCCTTTGCAAATGTATAATTGCTATGACTGTACAAGGAATAAAGAAAAGCAAACAGAACAGTTTTTCTTACCTGGCAATCTGCCCGCAGCAAGTGCATCCCCTGGTAAATGTCCATTAACTCCATTGGTGGATGGGTTGTTCATCTGACCCAAGAGACCACTCCTCATTTCCAGATCTGTAGGATATGGCCTACGTGGGTCCCCTTAAAAAAAAAAGAAAAAGAATTAAAAAAAAAAAAAAAAAGGGAATGTTTTTAAGTATTTAGCAATTGTCTTACAGACATTAACTTTTTTTTCAGTGTCTAGTTTCTTGACCAAAGAAACCATACTCTGATTGCTTAGATCAGCAATGAGCATCACATCTGTTTTGTTAAAATCCAAGTCTGTGCCTTTTCACTTAAGACTTCTTTTGTTCATTCAGACCTGGCAAAAAAAGCACTTAAAAAGCCACAATAACAAAAAACCAAAACCAAAACAACCAAAAAAACCCATGTTTAGAGGATATCTTTGCTGTCCCTGCTACTTCACAGCTAAACAGCAAGGGCAGGAATTGGAAAACAAAAACAAAAAACCCTCACTTTCTCTTTTTGGACAAGGATGGTTCTTAAAATTGAAACCTGACATGTTGGAAGCCCTGCTTCTGACTCTACTGATTACTAACATCCCCTGAAAAGAGTATTATAAGGGGCAGGAGGGAAAATAAGTAAGCACATGGAAAAGCCTTCAACATACTTGGTTCTAATTTACAACTGGGGCCAACGTTACAGGCAAAAAAGCAAACAAAGAGCAAAGGAGGACAGTCAATTAATGGAATGTGAAGTTTCGTAGCCTTCTGAAGATGTACATAATAAAGTCTACGGACTTTGGATATCTATTTTTCATTGAAAATGTAAGCTAGAAGAGGTGAAAACAATGTTATTCTAATAAACCCCAGTGTTTATCACTGTATAAAAGCATTGTAAGAAAAGATAGTGAACACGCTTCATTATAAAAAAAAAAAATCTGTTGCCATAAACATGAAGGTTACCTGGTACCCATGTGAGAGGGGCACATACAGCATTGCTAGCACTGATCCTATGGGCATATTTAATTATTTCTTCAGAAGAAATGGCACCTGGAAGAATGGGAGAGAAGTTACTATATTCACAAGAGGCTGCATCATTTAATTATTTCAGAATACTGGGCATTAATAGCTAGCAGATTGGGAATATAATTTTGTCAAACATTAAGAGCATGTTTCAAATGCAGTGACTACTTTGAGGATTCTTAGACTATGCAAGGCCGACCTTTACAGTGAACTGATTTTACAGCCACAAGTTCATTACACCTTCAACGGCAACGCTGTCAAAACCACAAACCAATCTCTTAAGCAGTGTACTTGACAATCACAATTTGTCAGTAACTTTTAGCACCTGCTTTATTATGGAGTTTTCTGTAGTAAAGAAATTTTTTGTTGGTTTAATAATTGTAGGGCATACATGTAGCAGCCCTTCTAAATATGTGCATGTATTACAGTAACATAAGCTTAACGAAATCCCTTGATTCTTTTAGATAAAAAAGGTGTAACAAGATGATAAAGGACACATAAAAAAAAAAACAACCAAACAAAACAAACCCAAACATAACGAAAATTGCTCCCAAAAAACCCCCAAAGAAGTAAGTTTCACTTGGGAGTGCCATAATGTCAGAAATTGTTACAGGTACAAACCAGTAACACTAGCTAGCCAGTCTTTCAAATACAGCACATGCATACACAAAGCATTCTCTTCCTTTCCTCAGCAGACCTGGCTGAGGCAATTTGGTGAGAGGCAGCTGGGTAACCAAATATTATCAGTCCAAGAAGAGTGTTGAGACAGTTGAATTCAAGTTTAATATTAAAGCCATGTTTGCCACCAAAAAAAATACTAATTCTTGCCTTTATTCTGTTTATAGGTTCATAATGAAATGGAAGTTTGTTTACACACAAAGCATCTGAAATCTATAATAGTAGATGAAAATAAATAACACTAACTCAAGCTCACAAGCACCTTTTTTTACAACTGCATTTACGTAGTATGTATAATCACGGACACCCACCTTTTCTTGCTTTTTCAATTGATTTCAGCTTTTCCTTTGCTTGATAAACAGCTGTTGCCTAGTTGTAAAAAAAAAAAATAATAAAAAAATGAAACAAACCAAACCTTAAAAGCATCTTTAATTTCTAAACTACACAAAGTCAGCTTCATGAATAAACCCTTGCGTTTAATTGCATTTTAACAAAGAAACTGTTCAGTGAACATTTTCAAAATATACAGAAATAAAGTAGGTTTGTAAGAAAATTAGCATGATAAAACAAAACTGAATACCATGATAACTAAAGAGTATTCGACTACTGAAAAATAAAACCAACCACTAAGCTTTTATGAAGTTTTAAATATTTAAATCTTCTCAAACACAACACCATTTCCTCCAGAGCCACCTTTTCACAAGTAGATTCTCAAAAGCAAGCACATCATTATGAACTTACCAGTATGTGCTCTGCTTCTTTTAGTTGTTTCTGCAGCTGCTGAATATCATTATCCCTCTTTTCTACTACCTTTTCTAAAAGCTGCATTTCATGATGGATTTTCCCCTGATCAACTGCCAACTTCATTAGCTCTTGAAACTCTCCGTCTCTCTGAATCAGCAGTTCCAGGATCTATTGAACAAGAGTTTTGCAGAACTTTTAATTTAGCTGGAGTAACAATACACCCTCAATCATGCTGTAAAGAAGAGCCACTGACACTCATAGAGTATTTGTTTGCACGAAAATGAAACAAAATTTCTTCCCTCTGTTTGCAAAAGCAGCCTAAGAAGCATACATCAAAATGAACAAACAAGCAAGCAAGCAAACAACATGAGGACCAAGAATGCCTTTGTAGTGGGGCCAAAACCTAATCACCATTAGCTATGCTCAGCACAGACAAGAACAGAGGGAAAAAGAGGGTGATGGTCGGGATATAGAAGCATTGTGCTTACACAAAGAAATACGAGTTTAGAAAGTTAGCTTACCTGACTCTCCTCTCCTGGTTGTGGAAGCTTCTGGTTTCTTGAAATTGCCAAAATTTCAATTAGCTCCCTGAAAGAAAAACTCAAAATTGGTGTTTGCACAATTTTCTAGGTCATTATTTGTAAATCACAAATCATCCCCAAATTGTCAGTGTACTGGTATCATTACAAAAGTATGCATGGTCTTGAGTATTTTACAGTACAGTGTTGGCACGGATTTCTCAACTAAGAATAATTCTATGAATAGTCTCATGATTGAAGCACATTTTTTTTGTTCTCTGATCTCATGATGCACTTGTACATTTATACTCAGTAAATGTGCTGAGTTCCTACCAAACTATGTAAGACAAACAGAAGCTGAAAGAAGAAACAGCACAATAAGCCACATTCATATCCTTTGTTTGTTGTAAGGGTGTGAAAGTTGTCCTCACCATTTTACTTCTCTACTTTTTCTCCATTTTTTCCAAACAGAGCAAGTTTCACACTTGGGCTTAGTACAATTAAGTCTACACTTTCAAGCATCTAGAGTTTGCTGTGAAACTACTTCTACTACAAGTATTTCTACAATATTGTATTAGTTGTATATCAAACACATAGAAATACAATTAAAAAAGCTTATAATCTTCAGGTGCTTGGTTAGAAGTGCTTCTCAAACTAACCTCTTGATCACACTTCCAGGTATCCATTTACTTTGTCACGCCATCAAGAACCTTGGAGGGAACTCACTAAGCAACAAGACCACAACGTAAAAAGACATTTCTGTAAATTCAGCAAACTTATTTGGCTTCTAATGGCATGAATAATTGTCTATCTGAGAACACTGTCCTTGGAACAGATTCTCTGCTTGTTTCAGTGCATACAGCTGAGTGGGATGTATGACTCATTCAGCAGCGGGGCCAGAGCCTTAAAATGAAAATAGGTGCTTGTTAAAATGTCTGAAAAAGCCCCTCACCAATAAAGCTCTGAGTAACTTCTTGGTCACTCCTGAACACTAAAATGATTTTACACAACTAGATAATAAAGAAAGTCGTCATCATCACTAAAGCTTTATTCTACCTTACCAACCACTGAGCAGTAGCAAACAAAATGTTATGAGTAATCAGCTACCACCACCAAAGTTGGTGGCATGGACGGTTGTAATTCTGCTATGTATTAGCCAAAAACACAATCACAGATTCAAAACTATGCAAAGGCTAAAGACTGTTGCTTAATGTTTGTCCATACCAGCAAACCAGTATCTTGACTGGGAAAGGCCTAGCTCCACAGCGCTGCAAGTTTGCTGGTCAATCGGCAGATTCACTAAATGTTTTTGAGGGTTGCTCCGGATTCATTATTGTAGAATAGCCCAAATGGTCTAAACGGTCCCAAGATTAAAAAGAAAACCATGAAAAAAACCACAAAAACCACAACAAATAAAGAGCAACGGGATTTTGTTTTATTTCTTTCTCTACAAACCCGTGTTCTCTAGCAACCCGTATGCCACAGTAAAATCTAAGCCTGAAAATAAAACCTAATAATAAAAAACAAGATCAACTGACCAATGTATTTTCCTTGTTGTACACAGAGTGAGCCAGCCGCATAGAGAGCATGGGTTATTCCATGTGAAAAAGCCTCCCTAAGTTCCTACTCTCTCGAGAGGAGGAAAATAACTAGGAACCAGTTTAACTGCACTCTGCAACATGGTGGCCAGTCTGGGTGCGGGTCATCGGACCGGCCTCAAAGGGCATGGAAGAAGTATCTGAGAATTGCTATCACTCCAAAGGCGGGCTCTGCAGCCTACTTCGAGTTTAATGCTGGCAATGACCAGAACGGCTTGAGTCATGCAACACCATCTACAAATTTCTGAGTTAAACATAATTTTTAATGACTAATAAAAAGCCTAAAATCTAAGGGGGAAGAGGAGGGAGATGGGTGCATGCAAGAATTTCACAGGAAACGCAGGCTGTCAAGCAAGACAGCAAATTAGGTGGTAAGAATAATAGCATGCTCTCCTGCTCCAAGAAATAAGGCACCTCTGGGGTCAAAGCTGCGGAGGGGAACGCAGGGCCGGGCTAACTCCCTCCCCTCCCGTAGAAGCCGGCCTGGAGAGGGCAGAAGACCCTGGAAGCGCGTGCACACGGGCCTGGCCCTGCTCTCGCCCCGCACACCAGCGAGGAGTCCGGTCAGGCCAGGCAGGGCCAATTCGATTCTACCCGATTCCCTCCCAGCCCAACCCCAGGGACACCGGCTCCTCCCGCCGCCCTCATCGGAGGCTCCGCGACGTTCAGCGACGAGCTCCGTCATCTCACCCACCCCACCCCCGGCGCCCAGCCGCCATCCAGGGCCCTCCCATCCGAGCACCGGGGACACAGCGCGGTACCTGGCCAACAGCTCGAGATCCTCCAGCGCCGCCAGAAGCCGCTCCCGGGTGCTGCTGCGCTCCCCTCCACCACCCCCGGCCGCTGCAGCCGAGGCCGCCGCCATCATGACCCCCGTCACGAACCCGACCCAGAACCACTTCCTCAGCGGCGGCGCCAGGACGGTCAATACCCCCGAGCGGCGAGGCGGCGAACGACAGCCTGGTGGCGGTTGACGCATGCGCAGGTCGGCCCGGCAGTGGCAAGGTGGTTCCTCCCTCTGCCCCGAGCGGGGCTGGGTAACGGCTCCCCTGAGGCGTTGGAGGAGGAAGGGTCGGGCGGCAGTGGGGATAGGGTGCGCGCATGTGGCGGAGAGCCGTGGGTGTGAGGGGAAAGGAGGTCACATCTCCCTCAGTGAGGCCAGATGAGTTCATGTAAAAACCTCCTCCTGGAGCTGGGTCGTTACACAGCAGGGGTCTCCGCTTGTTGCGGTTCTGAATGCATTTCCAGTCCCCGGATGTCCGCAGAAGAGCCTCTAAATGAGATTCAGATGTACGCTGAAAACATAGAAAACAAACGGCAGAAAAAAAGACTTACGACTAAATTGAGTCTGAAGTTTTTTAACTCAAATTTTGACAGCCGTTATAGACCAATGTCCCTCAGGTGCTTTTTACGAGAAGGAGGCTAAAGAAAGTTAGTGAAAATGTAGTAAGACCCCGGAGCTTTAAATGAGCACCAATAGCTGTGATGTGGTCTGCGTCTCCCACTGGTGACAAGAGCCATGACCTGCCTGACACGCCGATGCTGTGAGTGCAGATGTGTCTAGCCGTGGAGGCTAAAGGCAGCTTTGCATCCATTACAGAGGCCTGCACACGGTGATGAGGCAGGTAACAGATGCAAATACTGTCAAGAGTTTCAGCTTTAGCTAAAAAGTACCATGTTTTTCTTGTTGCTGTCTGTGGGCTGGCGCTGTAAACAGGCCTCTAACCCTGGGTGGGGTCACAGAGAAGCCAGTGGAAATTTTTATGTTCATGAAGGTTTCAGTAATGTGAAGAGGCTCAGAGAGAAGCCAGGGTGAGGGCAGATGAGGGAGCACAGAGGAAAGCTAATCTGGGGCCAGGGTTTATAACCAGGGCAATCACTTTCACAGAAGGGCAGTGAGTCCCCAGACCCTATGTCCTGCTACCAGCAGGCGCCTGCAAAACCTGCCAACAAACAGCAGTTCTCTCCTGATGAGAGCAAGCACTAGATGAATGATAACACCCCGACTGCGCTGGTATTTACCCTGATTATCTTTTTACCCTCTGCAAAGTATGTCCCTGAGGAATCTACACGTCTTAAAAAAAAAAAAAAAAAAGGCAAGAGACTCATTAGCTGATGATTCTTTTAATTGTGGTTTAAAGAAACAATTCAGCACAATGAGATTTATGACAAAGCAATGAGATTTGCAGCCATGAGAAGATAACTCTGCCAACAGGAGTTACTTAAAAATTATTTACAATATACAACAACCCTCAGCGTTCTGATTGTAGATAGTTTGGGAATTCTCTTTAAACTACGTAGCAGATAACATATCAAATAATTCTGCCCTTTAAATAACTTTTGGTTGCTTTTTTATTTTTCCCCATGTTTCTGTGATTTTGTTCAAAGAAAGATATAATTGGTGATGCTGTCTGGTTGTGCATCCAGTTCACTGATTTGTGTCTGTATGGGTGCATAAACAGAAAGAAATAGCAACTTTGAAAACAAAGCAATCCTTCCTCATATCCATGTTGACATCTGAATTATTTAGACCTGCAAGTACTTCTGATATATTCTGGGGCTGTAATACTAGTTTTGCTAGAGGTAAAAGCTTGTGGTGTTAATAGCACACCCAGACTTGACTAGCCAAGGAGTGAGTATCGAATGTGGGAGGGTCCTGTAGGCTGATTTTTCCTTCTTACTGTGCCCAGGGGCCTGTTCCCTCCCTTCTTAGTGACAGCAGTACTGCTCCCACCCAACCAGGCCAATACTGCCAATCCTTCACTGGAGCAGCCACCGTTCTCTCCCCACTTGTCAAAGTGCTGCCTCTCTTCTAATCAGTGTGCTTGGTACTGCCCAGTCATAGAATCACAGAATCATGGAATCACAGAATGGTTTGAACTGGAAAGGACCTTAAAGAACATCCAGTTCCAACCTCCCTGCCATGGGCAGGGACACCTTCCACTAGACCAGGTGGCTCAAAGCCCTATCCAGCCTGGTCTAGAATGTTTCCAGGGATGGGGTATCCACAGCTTCTCTGGGCAACCTGTGCCTGTGTCTCACCACCCTCACAATAAAGAACTTCTTCCTTTTATCTAGTCTGAATCTATGTTTTTTACTTTCAAACCATTGCCCCTTGTCCTGTCACTATAGGCCTTCACAAAAAGTCTGTCATCTTTCTTTTAAGCCCCCTTTAAGTACTGAAAGCCTGTTACAAGGTCTCCCCGGAGCCTTCTCTTCTCCAGGCTGAGCAAGCCCAGCTCTCTCAGCCTGTCTTCATAGGAGAGGTACTGCATCCCTCTGACCATCTTCATGGCCTCCTCTGGACCCACTCCAACAGGTCCATGTCTCTCTTGTGTTCTGGACTCCAGAGCTGGACACAGTACTCCAGGTGGGGTTCACCAGAGCGGAGTAGAGGGGGAGAATCACCTCCCTCAATCTGCTGGCCACGTTTCTTTTGATTTAGTCCAGGATATTGGGTTTCTGTGCTGCAAGTGCATACTGCCAGCTCATGTTGAGCTTCTTGCCAGCCAACACCACCAAGTCCTTCTCCTGAGGGCTTCTCTCAGTCCAGTCTCTACCAACCTGTATTTGTGCTTGGGACTGCCACAACTCAGGTGTGGGAGTTTGCATTTGAACTCTCCTCCTTGTCAAACTCCCCTCCCCTTCCATGGGAATGCAGCAGTGGCTGGGAAGTGCAAGTCAATAGGCAGAGACTTCTGCTCTGGCCTCTGTGCGGGAGGACAGGGTGAGACCAGAGACAGAGGGAATGCCTGCCTCTGCCAAGACGCAGAAAGTCATTTAGACTGTGTCAGAGGGGTCATCTCCTTCGGGACAAAGGGAAAAGCTGGGTGAAATGGGCTTAGGCCCCACAATTGCCCTGTGGGTCCATTGCTTTAAGACTGAGAGGGTAATTGCTGAATAGACTTCTGAGATTTGCTCAGACAAAACAACAGAGCCTCTGTTTCCCCAGTGTTGGTTCCTCTGTTTCCTCAGTTCTTAGTGCTTTTGGCCTTCTTTCCCCTGAGTAAACTTTTTTCATACTTCTATTGGTTTCAAGCCAGATCTGCCTCTTTAAAGCTCATGCCCCTCCTGAATAACTAAGCATTCTCAGTAGTCCTGAGAATATTTTAGTTGTGTGGCCATGAATGTATCTTTCTGTCCACAGTGATACTATTAGATGTTTCAGAGCTCTTTCAGATTCTTTTCAATGGCATACTGAATGTGTTAGTAAGAACCTGCTAACACAAGCAAAAGTAGCTTATTATATCTTGTTCAGTTGAGTCTTGTCTCTTCCAGAATGGCTCTTAAAGTGATGATGTGTAGAGCAAAATGATTCCTTTAGATAGATCCATGAGCAGCTGAGCTGATCTGATAGTTCACCAACACTGAGAAGCTGAGATGTTGCTGACTGCTCATCTCCCAACCACAGATTTTCACTGTCCTCTCGCACCGCCTTGGTGTTTGCCATGTGCTTCTGTGAGACACTTCAACTCAATAACAAGACTGAGGAATATTTAATTTGAGAGGGGATGTTCATTTTCTTTTGGGTTACTGAGTGAAACCTAACCTCATCATATTGAAATTCAGAGTGTAGTTTTATGTTACAACTAATTTAGGATGACTCTGGGCTAGTGCTGAAAAGTGCAGTCTACTCCATCTCTCTCCAGCCATGTATCTCATCTTGTTCCCCCTTCCATGAGGTCCAGTGATTGTGAGACTGCAGAACGAACCAGGGGAGCAAATGAGTTCAATGGAAAACTATCATTTTTGGACTTGATTTCTGTCAGATGAGCTCATTGAAGTAGTTAACTTCAGGGCTGCCATTGCTAGGTCACTAGGCACAAGGGAATATGTGGCCAGGGAATGGAGCCAGGGATGTTACTTTTAGTCCTAGTTAAGTGAAATTCAGGCCTAGGATTCCTCTAGTGCAAAGCCTTTCCTTCCAGCACACTATTGTGATTTCTTAACTCCTGGTGTTCCTTACTTTTCATGTACTAGAAGATCACTCTGGAACTTGGAAGCTGACTTGTAAATAATCTTATATAAGAAGCCCAAAGCAGGCATGTGTTTCATTTTCAGTCTATATCTTTTCCAGGCTACAGTGCTTTTCAACTGTCTTTTATTTATACATTCCAGATGCTAAACATCAAGAGTTCTGTTGGTAAGTGTTCAGTAAACCACACCTTAAAATAATAATGGAAAACAATGACTACAGAAGATATGTAACTCCCGAAGGCTCTCAGGTGTCTGGCCACATGTAATAAAATATTGCAAACACTATAAATAAAAAGGCAGGAGGATAAGCAAGGACAGCAAGTAGGGAAGAGGACAGAATAAATACTCATTTCTACTTCCCCTTGATAATGTATAAATAAAATCCTTTCTGTCAAATATCAACTAAAATATAAATCAAACAGCTTGGAAGGATGCCACAACTGTACTTCGGCTTGCGGAGATGAGAATAATCATCCCTTATTTGTCAGCCTGTCTTTACACCATTAATATTTTTAAATGTTCCTAATAGATCCTCCATTTCATATTGCTATTTAAAAAGAAATCTTTATTTCCCTGCTCACTTATGTTAGATAGCGATTTTAGGCCAATGAGATGAGAAAGGAAAAAAAATGTGCTTTTGCTTAGCTGGTGTAATTCTAGAATAGGTTAAAGATGAGGTAAAAATAGATAATACTATAAGACAAAGCTTATTTTTTTGTGGAAGGGGTGTGAAACACTACTACATATGGCCAAAACCAGAGTTTGGTATGCCATTCCAGACTGTTCCAGCACAAAATTAGATCTGCTTTGAGCTATATTAAACCTGAGTTACACTGGTGTAAATTTGGGCACAGAGCCCTCAAGAGAGGAAGTCACCCAGGCAGAAAACAGTCGTGGTTTTCAGTCTGCTGGAGGGCTTCTTGGGACCAGTGCTGCC